GGGAGCTCAGAACAAAGGGTCCTAACACACAGCCTCCCCTTGCTTTCCCCCATGCTTCCTGGTGCAGGGATTCTGAGATCCAAGGGGAAACTGTCTGGTCCCCTCATCAGCTGTAAAACTGCATGCCACGAGGCCTCTTCAGTGCAAACTCAAGGAAGACATGGAGAGCATTTGAGGTTCTATGGAGAAGGTGGAAAAACACCAAACCAAACTCACTGCCATTGAGTCAATCCTGACTCATGGCGATCCTGTGAAAGCAGTTAGCGGCCCACCACATAAATAATAAGCCCACTTTAAACTCAGCCCTGACAAGGCTCTAGATAACAACACCAGTGGGATGGCCTCGACTCTATGGAACTCAGCCTTGTGGAAACCACACTCCGGTGCCAGTCACATTCCTAGCTTGATGCAAAGATTTAAAGATTAAATCTAAAACCCACAAATTATCAATTGTTTCATTCCCATGATGCAGAAAAAATTGTTTTATGCATGTAGTGAGGTTTGAGTAGACTTGAGGAGGTATTGCAGAAATACTGGTAATGTATGAAAAATGCCCCAAAGCAATGTGGTTCCACACAAGTAGGAGTTAATAATCTGAGACCTGAACTCTTCTCACCTTGTTCCTCTGTAGACTTTTGCCTGGATTCCTTGGATTCTTATGGGAATGGAATGAGAATTAGGAAGACCAAAGAAGAAATGAGTGCCTTTGCAAAAATATAAATTGTTGGCGAATAATATAAAATATACTGCATACTGCCAGAAGAACAAGGACCCTGGCTGTGGGTGTGGGTTAGGAATTGGGCTAATAATCCCAAAGGCAATGGTTCAAAGCCTCCATCTACTCTGAAGGAGAAAGGTGAGGTTGTCTGCTTCCATAAATATTTGCCTTCTTAAAATGGAGTGGTTCCACTCTGTCTTCTACATTTGCTGAGTTGGAATGGGCTCAATGGCCATTGGTGGATTGAAGAAGCAAGAAGTGTAGCCAGAATATTCCTTAGAAACAAGATGGCCGGCCTTTGTCTTGTGTACTCTGGCCGTTATCAGGAGGGACTTGTCCCTGGAGAAGGGCATTGTGATTGGAAAATTAGAGGGGAAGAAGCCCCTTGTGGAACTGCATGGACACAGTAGAGACAACAAGGGGCTTCACTTGTTAACACTCTAACAACATCACAATAACGTGGGAGTCACATAGGACTGGGCAGTGTTTCCATACTGTCGTATGCATTGTCACTATGAGCGGTGATAGGCTTGATGGCATCTAACAACAGTTACAAGAAAGTAGCATCTTTTTGAATACCCTGGACATAAATAGAGGCCAGGAGGTGAGCACAGTGCCTCAGCTTAGGAGCGGCTTCATAGCTTGTTTTCTGGATGTTCGTAAGGAAGCTTATAGGTGCTGTGAACATGCTATCGAGTCCCAGTTCAGTAATGTCTGTGAAATTATAGGAAACGTTAATGTAATGAATCATTAAAATTAGAGAGCTGATGTGAAGTGGTATGTTCATAAGAAGCAAGCAGTTCTTAAAGTGCCTTTAAAGTACCTGACGAACTTACTTAAACCACAGCTTTCCAATGTTGTTTGGGGATTGTACTGCTCAACATATGGTTGTTTTTACAAAGGAACTTGCTAACCAGGACAAGATTGGGAAAATGATAAAACATGTTAATTTGTTCAGTTTGTGCGATGTGGAGTGTGCCATTTGGAACTGGAAAACTCACATTCCAAATCTTAACAACTTGGAGGGGAAGGAGCAAATGGAACATATTCAGGCCAGCATTTGAATCCTCACTACGGACTGGTTTCCTTCTTGTATTTACCTTTGATCTTCACCACCCCATAGCCTTGGACTATCAATGGCGTTTACATGCTACAGATCAGGGGATAAGCTTGGAAGAGGATATTGTCCAAATTGACACCGCTGCTTGGGGGTGGGGCTAGCGTTCTGAACAGAGAGCCCCTCCTCTTTTCACTTGCAGGATGCTACCCATGTATTTAAGCTGTGAACTTGTCCCCGTAAGCACAGCTCATTCCCTTGGAAAGCTACGCGGTAGGGAAGGGTACAGAGTCAATAAACTAATCGATTTAGGCTCTAGAAGAACTCTTGAGTTCCCATTGGAACTGGATGTGCCTTTGAACTCCACACGTAAGACAAGGCTGGAAAGGAAAGGCCTTTCTGTGCGTTGGATGGAGGGGTGTGCAATCTAAAACAGTAGCTCTAGTCAGAACCGGGCGCAAGTATTCTCTCTACCATTCTGAAACTGCAATGGGCAGCACGGGGGAAAGATTTCTAACCTCCATGAACTGAAATCTTTGTCACATTTTTAATATCTATGTCCTACGGGATCAAGAGAATCAAAAGAATGAAAAGATGCGTTGTCATAAAATGTTATTATATAGTTAATAGTTTATTTCTCTGCATATGAGTAAATCTAAACAAACCTATAAGCTACTCACCCAAACCAAAATCACTGCCATTGGGCTGAGGCTGACTCGGTGTGAAGATGTGACCCTGGAGGACAGAGGAGAACTACCCCTGTGAGGTCCCGAGACTGCACATCTTTACAGAATGGAAAGCCTGGAGCAGTTGGTGTTCTTGAACTGCTGCCCTTGCAGTTAGCAGCCCAGCAGGTAACCACTATGCAGTGGGGCTCCTAAGCATGTTTAAATCTGTGAACGGAAGTCTGTACTCTGTAGCTTCTTTGGGGGACTGTGCGGTGGGAAAAGATGCCTTTTCCTCCAGGAAACTCTCTCCCAAGCGAGGGAAAGAGTTTTAGAAGAAAAAGCATGGAGGGAACTGTAACTCTTTTCTCTTCTCTTTTCCTTAGGGATTGGATTTAAATCGATGAGATGGATCCGAATAGGTTTTCTTCAAATAAGAACACTCTTTTCCTGTTCCCTGGTTGGCAATTTGGGGAAGCTCGAATGAAGTTCAAAACCAACAACCTACTACAGAGATCTTGCTTACCAGGATGTCAACAGGAGAAGAAAGGCATACACAGGGAGGAGACAACTCCCTTGCCCGACAACGGTAGGAATGTGGCGGCTTCCTGTAAAAACGGGATGGCTTGGTCTTTCATGAACTGAAGGCATTTCTACTTCCAATCAAATTAATATTTTGGAAAAATGGTTTCCACAAAAATTTCTTTTATTCCATCAGTTTCAAAGAATATACACCAGAAATATAGTGCAAAGTGGTTAGACTCATGAGATCATCAACAAGTTCTCTTCTAAAGAGCATGCCAAGTCTCTGGCTTTCAGAACGGCCTCCTTAAACCTCCAATCCCTGGCATCAAACCCTATTGGCTTTCATCATCAAGATAGAAAGCCACACAATCTAATGATCGAGAGGGCTTTATAGGGTTGACATTGGATTGGAAAGGCGAGATCCTTGGCAAGTTTGCAGTGTTGGCACAGGTCTGACATTCACAACTCCACATTGTTGAACTGAACGGAGAATATTCTAGATGATTGGCTGTGCTGTGTTGTGTTGTGAACCTTCTCCCCTCTAGGTCACCCTCTACTGCATGCAGAGTTCTGTTTCAAATATAAAAACTATTTTAGGTAAACTCTTTTAACCTACATTGCTAAGATAGCTGCTTACAGCTTTCAGCTTTTGAGTTGGACAAAACCTAAGTATCAACTTGAGGTACCAAGAGAGTGTTTCCGACTTTGAGAATTCTGTGCACACCTTGATGTACTGAATGGCTGAAGGACAGTTGGATGGGGGAAAGAATATGGTGACTTCAGATCTATAGTTGAGATTTACTTTTCTCTTTGTGTTTCCGTGTGTGTGAAAATCAACGTTAGCCCAATGGTGAGGATATTGAATGTTTTTCAAAATCCTGTAATATAAACAGTAAAAGCTGAGAAAAGTCAAAGGCCACAATTTAAATCTCTAGACATCTATACGGCTTTCAGAAATGCCACTCCTGGAGCTATGACCTCATCCCTGTCATGGAGTCCATGCTGACTCATAGTGACCCTACAGGATAGGGAGGAACTGCCCCTGTGAGTTTCTGAGATTAAGGGAATAGAAACCTCCTCTTTCTCCTGAGGTGCCCTGGTGGTTTTGAACTGCTAACCTAGCGTTTAGCATCCTCAACTCCTAATCCACTATGCTTTCAAGACTCCTTCGAGTGATTACTGGGTAATGGGAATTGCGTGCATACATGGTTGGACTTTGATGAGAAGCCTCGTGGTACTATGAAGTGCCAAAGAAGGTTACTGTGTGCCTGTGAAGAATTGCTGATCTCTGCACCATATACTTTAGGAGCCCTAAGCCTAGCTGGGATAATGAGTACAATGCTTGAAGAGATATAAAACTTGTCATGCAAAATATCTACTTGATAAAATATGGCTTTTGTTTAGCTTAATCTTAGTAATCCCTCATTTCTAGGAATAAATCTTAGAATGTGGGAGATTTTTCATGCATATAGGCCCCTCCCTGAGCAGTAAGGTGGGCATTTCATTTGATTTGTCTGATGATAATGAGACAAAGGGAATTGAGCCTGATTTCACTTCTTCTTCACTTAAGATTGTAAATTAATTAGTCCTGGGCCCAGTGGAAAATAAATCTACTGAAGCAATAGGGAAGCTTCATGTAGGCCAGATGCTAACTGGCTGCCATTTAGGCTCTGTGGCCAGCGGACTATTAGAACCGCAATAGCAGCCCCGCCCCCAGCTTTTCATGACGGGGTAGGATTGCCACACTGGCATTTCCATGAGTGTGAGGATGTTTTATGCTGCCACTTCAGCAAGTTTAAATAACCAGGATCTAGGCACTCGTGCTCGACAATGTTATCTCTGATGTGTTCTTGAGAATGGGTGCAAACGGGATGTGATATTGCTTCGTGATGGCTCCTTCAACAAGGAACAAAGTGGTCAAAGGAATTGGCAGGCAGAAGGTGACTCCAGAGCGGGCAGGGTGACAAAAGCCATGGACAGACAAGTTGCTCAGGGAGTCCATCCAACACTTCCCCCAATTAGCACGGCCGTCAGGTTAAGGTGAAGGTGCTGCTCTAACAGACTGAAACATGGTCTGCTGAGCAACACAGCTAGGTCTCCACAGGGTAGCACTTTATTGCAGTAGATCTTTCATGGAATGAACAAAACTTTAAATAAATCACAATTACTTATTGCTTAGTATTTTGGATAATAAATTCTTTAGTTTTATCAGTACCTCACGGCCTTCAAATGTGCATTCTTCAAACAATTTCAATTACATATACATTCTTTCTCCTCAACAATAAATTATTCTTAAGGAAAGGAAAAGATACATATGTTTAAAGAAAAGGGGAAAAAAACATATATTTTGACATTTTCTTAAACTTATATGAAAACAACTCTCTATGTTAGATGCTTAAATATAAATAATAAAGGATACTATGTTATTTACAGTGTTACACAGGAAGTTGAGAGAGTCTGATCTGGCATTAAATCATAAAGACAATAAATGATTTCAGAAAGCATCCCAGTCATGTACAACATGTATTTACAAAAGCATCATAGAATTTGTGATGTGTGGCCATTCCCTCTTGTCTGCAGTGTTTCATGGGATTTTTCAGGATTGACACCTCTGTCGCTGGTGGGATGGAGCCAGGACTAAAAGGAAGACCAGCCTTTCCCTACTTTCCCCAATATGAACCTGTTGATCCAGGCCCCCAAAAGGAGGGGTTACTGGGCAAGTTACCCTGGGTAAACTCCACTGCTCTCAAGGCAGTCACGCTGCACTGAGCAGGAGATGACACGGCCCGGGTGGAACCCGTTTACAGACATCCCAGGCAAAGTGTCCCTTTTCAGAAAGAAGGAGGCTGTCTAGTCTGTTTTCAAAAACAAAGTCCTGTCAGACAAGAGGGGGGAGGCGCACAGAAAACGAATCTAGAGTGACTAACGGAGTTTTGCATATATTATGCTCCACCGCATACCCCTCCTTGGGATCATGGCCCAGGGAATGGAGGCACAGCCATTGCTCTCTCACTTCCTGGGAATGAACATCCATCACCATCAACCCCAAGATAGCTTCCCATGTGCTGCGAGTCTGGGTTCACATTCCTCCTCCGGATTGCCACTGCACTGCCTGAGTTTATACACAGGGATGGTTGAGAGTGATGTGCCAATTAGAGAAACTAGAGATATTACGGTGAACACCAATCTGTGAGCTGGGCTGGTGGCCCTGAGCAGTCAGCTGGCCTTACTGGTCAAGGGAAGCTCTTATTCTACAGACAAAAACAAACCTGTCCCAACCCATATGGCACCTCCATGAGTGACCGGAATTTAGTTGAAATCAAATTTCCTCATCCTAAGTTTTCCTATGTCTGTATGTGCAATGTGGAAACTTACAGCAATTTCCATAATGAGGAAAATGTTGCTCATTGCTTTCAATAGAAGAGTCTGCTTATTCCTGGAATTCTTCGGAATGGGCTATCCGAATACCCTAATATGAAAAGAATTTGAAATAGAAATGTGTGTTTTAATTAATGGTAGGAAGATTAAAAATAAAATCATTGAAATGGCCAAGGAATGAGGCAAGGTCTTCAAAAGCAACAGTCTAGCAGTTGAGAGAGTGGTTGAGAGAACTTCCTCGGCCACAAGCTTCCTCCATTTGCACAAGCTGGCAGGAGAGCTTCGGTGCAGATTAGCACACCAGGGTACCATGGGGCACAGAGAAAGTGGCACGTGATCCAAAAAGGAAGCGCGGGGAATCCCAGGTCCTCAGACTAACAGCAAGGAACTGCAGACCCAAGAGTGTCTGTGGGTCACAGAAACATCTAGGAGCTTAACAAGATGCCTCATCCCATCCTGATGCTGTCTCATGAGACCTAGCTGCATGTCATGTCTGCCGGTTGATTGCACTTGGAGATTTGGTGAAGAAATTGATTCTGTTCACCTGCAAACAAGCAGCAGGTACTGTCATTAAGTTCACGCCTAGCACTTTGGACCTCCTGCTAACCTGGTCCCGTGGTGCCTCGTGGCTCTTAGGAGCCTCAGTATGTAGCTCCAGCCCTGAGTTCCAAGAGAGTAGGCAGGGCATAAAATGGATCACACCGTTTATGGTTTCAATCTCTCTTATTTTTCCAATGTTGACACTTATTGACATGTAAAACTCCTTTGGATTCACAATAGCAAGGACACGTGGGAAAGTGAGACCAATTAAGCCTGCTCTGTGACAGTAAAACAAAATAATCAAAAAAGACTAAGACCATAGGAAAATGATGCTACAGGCATCAACAGAGAGTTTGTGCACAGGTGGAGGTTACTCAGCAAGTAAAGGTGCATCCTCTCTGACCCTCTGGACGTTTCCTGATGCACCGTCACTCGTGGAAGGTTCTTATTAATCACAGACCAACGCGCATCGGCCTCGCCTGACACAAATGTTCATGCATAGTGATGACCTAATCAAGTCGACCTTGACAAGCGAGAAAACTCCTCAGAGTGAGGGGGTGGCCCAACAAAAATGGTTTGACATGTCAAGGAAAAACAGTCACACAGCTGCTCTGCACCTGTGTCTCCTCTGTGTCTGCGTGCTGCAGCTGAGCGATTTCCCTAGTCACCACTCTGCACAGCAGGCACAGTTTGCTCTAGGACTATTGCAGACAAATGGAGGGATGGGCCACTCTTCCTCCCGAGGTGAGAAGACGCCACTAATCTCTAATCGAAACTGGTGAGAGATCCAGGACAGAAATGAGTGCACCTTGGTCAGCCATGGTTTGATCTTCGTCTGGATGAACTGATGTTTCACAGCACCCCCGCCCCCCGCCAAGACAAAATGAACTTGAGCCCTCTGCTCAGGTGCTGGATGTATCCGCTAGCAAACCACAACCTGCTTTCTACGCTCCTTCCAATGGTTGCCTTTTGTCCAGTTAAAGAAATCAAAAGAAAGGAAATGGTAGCTCCTTTTCGTAGAAACAACCTGTCTTCGGATGAAGGACACAAGTTGTTGCTTTGCTAATCACCGTCTTCCTAATATTTACCATGGCTTACAGCAGGGTCCAGTTGTAATTAAGAGTAGCATGCTGTTGGACCTACTACTATCTCAGAGCCCAGTGGAGCAAACCTTTGCCCGGCAGAGTAGACACAACCCATTTCACACACTGAAAGCAAAGTCAAGAGAGAAGAGGCGGATCTGGCTGGATTCGCCCTCACAAGGCACCTGGGTGGGTGCGACGACAAGCAAACAGAGGGACGGACGGGTGCCAGGCTTGCCCATCATAGACCCAGTCAGCCTCAGAGTGCAATGCACAAGACGTCAGCAACAACTGACTGTGGGAGGATTTGCTGAAATACTGTGGAAAAGCAACCACGGGAACTGTACAAAACTCGCTCTCAACAGAACAGAACATAAAGGCACCGTTGATATCTTTCTCATTTTGAAATACTGTAAAAAATTGCTACATATGGCACATAACACATTTTTACATACATATATTTAATTTATAAAAGTTTCTTCCTGTTTTCTATTTGCAGAACTGCTAAAATAAAATAAATTGTTTAATTTAAGGTGGAATACTTTATTATATAAAATAAAGTTTTACAGGTGAATCTAGGTGTTTACTGATGTTTTATACAGCAACAGGGTCTTGGTTAGCAATTACACTAGTCAGCCTGGCCTGCAATTCCTCCTGTGTCGAGAAGCGACCCCCTGGGTTAGTCCTGTTCTCAGTCAGGCGGAAGGCAGGGGCTGCCTCGAGACCAGCGGCCAGGGGGGTTTGTAGGCCCAGGAAAGGAGTGTCTTCACCGACTCTTTCATCTTCGGTTTCGCTCTCGGAGTTACTGCTCTCCGAGTTGGTGCGGCTGTCCATTTCCAACTTGCTTGCTGGGTGGCCATTGGGCTTGGTTCTTTTGGCCCGCCGGGTATTGGCGAGTTTCTTAACAGGCTCTTGAGCTGGCTCATACTCCTGGGTCGTTTCATACTCCTCGTCCTCCACTATCCTCAAAGGGCTAGGGGGGAGGCTGTTACTCTCATGCGCAGGGTTGTGGTGGAAGGAGTTGAATGGCGGAGGGTGGCGGTCATGCTTCTTCTCCCGAAGTCGTGGTGGTGTCACCAGCAGAAGAGGCCTCTCCTCTTCCATGAAGGGGCTGACTGGCATGGAGGGCATGGAGACCGTCATGCTGGACACAGGTGGAGACATTTCCGGAGGGGGTGATTTGGGGGAGCTTGGCGTGTGGAAATCTACAGGTGACATACGAGCCGGGGTGGTCATTGCTGACACATACCTGTGTGAGCACAGAATACCCCACATAAGTGTGGTGGAATAAGAGGCACAGAGCAGGGAGGGTAAGGGGACAGAGTTCATGTTACTACCAAAGCAGAGAATAAAGAATCTCAATCCCTTGCTTATGTCTGAATGTTTATACTTGGAAATTCAGCACCCTTGGAATCTATCCTAGGTCACCGAGAGTTTCCTCCCAGGGGTGCATGCAAAGATCAGCTAACATGCCTCGCTCATCAACGTTTTGGGGTTTTCAACATCATCACAATTTAAACTTAAAGCCGGTGAGCAAAGATGGAGTACTATGTCCTCGAACGCTCTCAGTTTTTAAGGACCAATGCTCAGGGATTTGGAGAGGGAAGAAGTATTGCTTAAATACTATACCTTCCTAAAGGCCAAGGGGTCTTAGAGAATGAAGCCCCAATGGGGAATGGAAGAAGGTCTAAGATGAGTTGCTGATAGCTGGATCTGCATGCATTTGGGTCTGTGGGCTTGGTTTCTCCTTAGCTCAGCTATAAGGTTATGTCTTATGAGAGAAAAAAGAGCAGAATAGCTTAATTTTATTCCTGATAACACTGCAATGCATTTGTGTGCTTTTAATTATTCTACTAAATGTTACTTCTTAACGTCTCACTTGAAACTATCCATCCCAGTGTTCAAGGCATTGAGAAGTAAGCCCGAAAGAACCTTATGTTTGTCTTGTACCACCGTGGGGTCTATGTCCAATCTTACAGTTCTCTTTCTTGCAGAACATTCGGCTGCATCAGAATTTGGTTTATCTTTTGTCACTGCCCAAGGGTTGGAGGCACCACATTACCCTATGCCATGCTTTGTCTGATACAAAGGCTCAGTGAATTCCTCAAGACAGGGAGGGCACTGTTTGGGCAAAGTTATGCTTTCCTCCCCAGAATGAGGAGATCTGGCTTTTCAGCACTGAGGATGATGTGGCTTTTTCTGAGCCACATTTCTCAGCTTTTGATAAAAATGTAACCAATGCCTCACACTAACTGACTCTCTTCTTCACGTCAGCGTTCACAAAGTCTAATTTGACACGAGCTGTGATGACACAGGACACTCTCCTCCGAACTCCAGCTAACAGGAACAGGAAACCTACTAATTTTCCTGCTTTTCAGCCATGATTCAGAGTGATAGAGATGTGAGATTTAGCTCTGTCTAAAATAGGAAAGTGTCTAGGAGACAGAATTATTTGGGGCTTGAGTCTTTAGACTTTTTTCTTTGGGGGTACTTAAATTAAGCTTTCTGAGAAATCAAATCCAAATTTAACCAACCTATAGCAGTGATTCATTTTACTCTGCAAGGTCTCTGAGTGCCAGTGTCTACTGCAGCCCTGCACAGCATGGGCTACCCGAGGAAGCCCCGCACAGCAGAGAAATGTCAGCGCTTGCAGGTCTTAGCACCTCTAGGGATCTAGGAAGAGTTTATTCCTTCATACTTTATTTTCAGTCTTAAGAAAAGATTCACATAGGACAGTTAGACTTGCTTCATACATAAAGATATGATGACATAAATTTGAGGCTAGTATTTGAAACCAGTTTGGGACCCTGTCTACTTTTCCATAGGTGGATTGATTATAGGGTAATCCCCAATCCATCAAGCTTTGGAACAACATGTTTGGGAAAAGACCCCTGATAAAGTGATCAGCACTTTTATATGTAAGCCCAGCACTGATCCCCCTTTGTGAAAGTACTTCCCATTTGATGAATGAAGGAGCCTTTTGTTTCTATCCATTGACCTATCAAATAAATGAAGATTATTGGGCAATATGCAAATTCTCCCCCAAGTGGACAAAGAATAGACTGAGGTAGTAATAAAGTAAAACAAATAAATACATAACTTGACAATCACACACACACTAACACATATGCACACACATGCGCATACACAGTATTTGAAAACAAACAGAAAATATTTTACTGATGAAGCTGGCAAAGCTGGTGAGGTTTAACTCTCCCCCAGATTAAGTGAAAATGAACCACCAAAAAGAATCTATAACTCAATATTCCTATCGGGCGTATCTTTTAGTATATAGTCCTTCATTCTTTATTTCATTTTTAGTTGTTATCTTCCACAATGCAACCCACTCTCCCCAGAGGAAAGCCCAAACCTTCTGGAATAAAGGGGCATAGGAAAGGCAACGTCTGCTTTGAAGATCACCTGGGAAGACTGCCAGAGGCAGCGCGCAATAGATTGATTCATTCACCCTTTCTTGGAACTTTACAGATGGGACACTAGATGGTGGAACACAGCAGTGGTTCCCCTCATGAGAGTCAGCAATACCATAGCCCTTGATTTGAGAAAACTGAAGCTAGAAAGGAAGAAAGAGTTAGCATGTACGATCATTAGGTCAGCTCGATCACTGTATCAGAGTTTGGATAATTGGCAAATTAGAATTTGAGAAGGGTTCTTATCACTCATTGATTCCATCTCTCTAGGGTTACAACTGGGACCCAGAGTGGAGTGTAAGCCTATGATCAGAGCTGGAAACTCCATGTTGGCTGCACCTTCCATATCAAATCATTCCAGCTCTTTAAGAGTCTTTTGCCTGTCAGCCACTGGGACGCTGCGAGAAGCTCAGAAGAAATGAGTTCAGTCAAACCAAAAGATGACTCCATCAACTAGGAGCGCTCCTAGAACAGGCAACTGCTGCCCCTGATTCTGATTAGAGTAGGTTTCCTTAGGTGAGACCGCAGGTGCTCATGGGGATTCTTTGACTGGGGCTCTCCTCTGCAGTAGCTCTGCCCTTCCGTGTTACCTTTCACTGTGAGGAGAGTCTCGGTAGGAGTCAGGGGTTTCCCTGGCATGCCTGAGGAGGCCGTGACACTCTCGGGGGCCTCCCAGGCCATTGAGACGTCCTCTTGGTCCCCCCGATGGGCTGCTGTGCCGACTGTTTTCGACAGAGGACATCATGAGTGCAGAGTGACTTTCCGAAACAATGCTTTCAGTGTGTCCATTACTCCAGCTAGGGAGGAAACGTGAGAGGCAAAGAGACTTTTAAAAATTACATGCAGAAAGGAAAAAGAAAAGATGATCAACACTAACTACTACCTTGTTCGCTTAAGGCTAGAATTGCTAAAAAGAGACTTGCTATGGTAAAAACAAACTAGAATGAGACTGGCTTTGCCCATTTTTAGCTGTGAGTTGCCCACGCGTAGATTCCAACTCATGGTGACCTCACGTATGCTGAGTAAAACTGCCCTATAGGGTTTTCAAGGCGTGACCTTTCAGAAACAGATCGCCAGGCCAAACTTCCAAACACTTCTGAGCGGGTTCAAGCTTCAAGCCTCGTGGCTAGTACTCAAGTGCTTAACGATTCATGCCACCCACAGACTCTTGATCATGTAGTCACTCATTCAGTGAATACTTATCGAATGCCTCCGTGTACTTAATAGTAGTCTTACTGATTTAGTTCTGCCAAGTGGCTTAAGTGAAAGAAGCACGTTGTCTTGTGGACTACTCTTGAAAGTGTCCCAATGTCCTCGGTGGCATGTCCTCGGGTGTAGATCATCAAAGCATTTGAGAATTTTCATTTCCACTATTCAACTACTTTCCATGTGCATTTGCCAGATCAATACAATCATTGTGAGGAAGCAATTTGTTAGCATTCTATAGGTCCAAAGACCTATGGTTCCCGAGGTAGTAAAGCCACTCAGTAAGCAGCCAAGCCAATCTTTAGAATCAAGAGTAAGGTTGCTGTGAAATTTCTATGCCATTTTTTGAAGTACAGAAAAATTGAAGATCAAATGTAAACAGTAATTGAGTCGTAGAGTCAGCTGATGTCCACAGTCTGTTTTTATCCAAAGATCATGCATTTTACTACACTTCACTGCTGTGGAAGAGTTTTCTTAGGGAAGGCAAAAGGCAGTGTGCAGAAATTCTTAGAAAACCAGGCCATTACATTTTGTGAGCTCTCCCTCTCTTACCTGTGGCTAGGAGTCTGGGTGACTGTAGTGGAATGGTGAGCTGTGGAGGTGTGGTGGCTTGTAGAGAAAGATGTTTCTGCTTCTCTCTCAACAACATGCTCACTGGAGAGAACATTTTTAGACACGTACTGCTGGATAAACAGAGAGACGGAATTTGAAAATCCAAGGAAATCAAAATACTAACATTTTCACGCATTTTTAAAAAGTTATTCTAGTACACGCTTCATAGCAGATTTCACTCTTCCAAATGGCCAGATGGTAGATCCTACATGGTCTACATTAGCATTTCAGTTAGATGAATGGAGTTCATGAATTACTCCCTGAATGTGTACTCAACGTAGGTCATAGAATCACAAGCATATATTATAAAAAAAGATATTTTTCCCTATTTTGTTTCTAATTGATAGCCTGAGTGGACTTTACACAAATATCTGCCCAGAATTAATTTTTACTACTGCTGTAAGTCAAGGAAGATGAACAGATATTTGAGTGAAACAAAAAACATAGAGATTATTTTATTTCAAATGTCAAATCAGTAGAAGCAAAAGCGAACTCTTATTTTGTTTTTAAATCTACTTTTTTTTTAAAGCTTCTCGGTGCCCATATTGCCCTACCGATGTGACTGAAAATTTTAACTTGCTGGCAGTCTGAACATGCCACCAAGAGCTTTGAAGAATTCATGGTAATTACCAAGGTCATCAATCTTGAAAAAGCACCTAAAACATACAGGGTTTTATGCTTAGTGCAATTAGATTCTACTTGCAAATAAATCACAGTATTTATTACTGTTTTCTTTCAGTGAGAGAAGCCCACTTTGTAGTTATATTTTAAAAGTTGGTAGTATTTATGCCCAATGTGGGCTACCCATTGGGCGGTTAACCAGAAAGTCAGCAATTTGAACCCACCAGTAGGTCTGTGAGAAAAAAAATGAGGATTTCTGCTCCCATAAAGGTTTACGGCTTTGGAAACCCACAGGAGCAGTTCTACCCTGTCCATAGGGTTGCCATGAGTCAGAATGGCCTCAATGACTGTGTGATTTTTGGAACAGGAAGAGGAATGGGAAGAAAGGGTAAAATGTTCCCGCATGAAAGAGAGCACTTTTCAGTTTGATCCTCCTCTGAGCTTAGAACAATTCAATAATACGCCAATTAAATTGATGCTGGAAAATGTTCCCTTTTCCTGTTGTTGAAAGGCTTTTCCTCATGGGTTCTCCTAACATGTACGTCTAGCTCACTCGAGAGAAAAGGTGGTGAGGTTGCAATTAAAATGTGTCACCTGAACAGAAGAGTGGGTGAAGGGAGACATCAGTCAGTGTAAGACATGAAAAAAAAATTTTTTTAAGTATTAAGGGTTCATGAGGGAGAGAGGGTGGGGGAAGAGGGGCTGATACCAAGGGCTCAAGTAGAAAGAAAATGTTTTGAAAATGATGATGGCAACATATGTACAAACGTGCTGGACAAGATGTATGTATGTATGTATTGTGATAAGAGCTGTATGAGCCCCCAATAAAATGATTAATAAAATTTGTCACCCATAGTGACCTATGCCTAGTTCACGTACAATTAATTTCTCTTTTACTTCTTAGAAGATAAATTCAGTGAATGCAATGAAATTTGTTAAATAAGATTTAATAATTATGGTATTTCAGTGTCATTTGACTAAGTGTTGTATGTAGATTATTTTATTGAATGTTCCAAAGAACTTTTGGAAAACTTTTATTCTCAAACCTTTCTTCATAGTAAGGACCTAAAACATAGAGAGCCCCAAGCCCAAAATTTACAGAGCTTGAGCCGCAATAGGCATTCAAGGAATCATTCATCTGCCTATTTATTGTAGCATACATAGTGACGGATTACGGTTGTTTGTCTAGTAAATGTATTTATCAACTATGCAGAACATTTTGATAAACATTGTTATAGGGCATTGGGTGACTTTTGAAAGCGTCATGCGGCCTTTGGTGGGCATGTCTTGCGGTATAGATTATCAGAGCATTTGAGAGTTTCAGGTTCAGCTATTCAACCAATTCCCACGTGCATTTGCTATAGCAATGCACTCATTTCAGGAAAGCAACTTCTAAGCATGATACAGAGTGGAAGTATGCTAACATATTCGCACTCTACACCAGTAATCACTCAGGGTTCTTGCTACAAGAATTGGTGGTGGTATACACTCAGCTCTGTGCTTAGGTCTATGGTATGGGTATGTCTACCACATGCAAAGTATACTTGTTTCTATGGAAGAGAATATGGTACTAAGATAGAGTGTTCAAGTTTTTCTATAAAAAGTCAAACAGAAGAGTAAAACTTAAAAGACAAGAAGAAATGTAATGGAATAGAAAGAGCAATACACCAACAACCAGAAGATCTAAGTCTGGCCCCTTTTTATACTACTAATGAGATGTGTGATTTCTGGTCTTTATCCAACAAAAACAAGGCTTAGATAATGAAATCTGTCTGTAACCTAGCATCTAAGATCCCAAGCTTTCATCATAGGTAAAGGCTAAGTGCTTAGTAAAGTACAAGCAAAATATTTGAGTGATTAAGGCTATATTTCATCTTGAGGGTTTTGTCTCATTTAGGGAAAGTCAAAGAATAAGAAATAATTGCTTTTTTCTAATTTTGCTACTAGAAAACACATTTGATAAGTCACCTGACCTGACGTTTGGTCCCTATTTTGTCCTCTGTAAATCAGAATCAGTAAATCAGTAAACAAACAAACAAACAAAACCCTGACTGTCATTGAGTCCATTCCGACTCCTAGCAACCCACTAGGTCGCAGCAGAAGTGTCCTCCTGGGTTTCCGAGACGGGACTCTTCACCAGAGTAGAAAGCCTCGGCTTCCTCCGGAGGAGTGACTGGAGATTTTGATCGACTAACCTGTGGCCAGCAGCCCAACATGTAACTACTGGCCACCAGCAGATGCACTGCACAATGCCCCAATAGAAACAGCTCTAAATTCCTTTGTTCCGTTATCGCTACTAACCAGCCATAGATTAGGGAAGTCTTCAATCCTAAATTACATGTATCTATATAATTTATATTTGTGTCTGTATATAATTAATATGTATACAGATGTGTGTGCATATATAGTTTGTGATTTCTGTATGATTAGTTGTATTATTTTTCTTTACTTCCACTCCCCTGCTCACAGTTGAGGCCTCCCTGCAGAACAAATCCAGTGTTATTATTCCAACCCGTTAATGGGCACTTCATAAGAGGAAATGTGCCGGTTTTACAGTAACCAAATCCACTTTTTAAAGTGTCCCCATTAGTATTTTCCTGGAGGAACTTCAGATTCCTGGAAGCTATGGTGATTCCTGGTGGCAGCTAGGAGCCTAAGAGCTTTAGAAAATGAATGCGAAGGCAGCTGAACAGAGAGAGGAGAGACACTGGGACTTTCTGTGCCACAGCCAACGTACATTCACCAGCTGCACGCTCTCCGGAGGTAGGTTAGGATGGTGAGGCCCATTTGCCATGTTCACCATGTTGTTTCGCTCGGATCGAAGGCTCTGCCGCAGCCGGTCATGGAGCTTTTTCCGTTGTTTCCTGGACATGAAAGAGAAAACATCCACATGACTATTAAATGGGTATCTCAGTCCTGCTAAATCTTTCTCCTACTAACCTACCAATAACTCAAGGAAGTGGACAGGTGGTGAGGCAGAGTGGGAGGTGGCCTATCCTTTGCAAATAGAATGAAGAAGTAGCCTGGAATTCTTACTGAAATTGAGCTGTACCCTTCAGGGCTACAACAAAATGAAGAAGACGATGGAAGTCAAGCTGGTATTTCGCTAAAATCCTAACTTCCCTAATAAATCCAGCCTTGCTTAAGTTTTACAGATGGTCATTGGTCTTAGGGAAATTGTGCTGTAGACTTGATAAGACTGATTTAATCTAGATTTTGTATGCGAGTCTGTGAAGAATATGTAGTTTTAAATTTGTACATTATACATAGTGTGCAAAAGCATCTTCTGCATGCATATGCATGAGAATATGTATTTATTTTGCCAGTAGGTTTCAGCACAATTAGAACTTGATCTTACTCTAGTAATTTTTTTTGTATCACTAGGTTATGAATATTTAAATATTAAGATTGAGTCTCCTAAAACTCTTCCGGTTGTAGTTATGAAGGCTTAGCTATATCATTTACATAACTCCAGGGACAAATTAAACCAGGGAGTTTAAGGAAACAAAATCTATAGCCTTGATTTTTAGAATAAAAATACATTGTTTTTGTTCTTTAATGTAATACTTCTACCATAATAATACTCTTATGGCTATATTGAAGTCACTGATGAAATCATTATGGACATAAATGATGCACTGGTAAGGAAAGTGTATGTTAAGAAACAAAGCAATGCCTGACTCAAAGGCGCTGCCCTTGACTGAAAGTTGGAGTAGAAGGCACTCACGGGAGGAAAGAGCAGGACATTTCTGTCACACTTAAATGCAGTGACTAGTGGGGACCCGACTTATGAGGCCAGATATAGTGCGGACAGATGTTTGAATGTCTTCTCTTTCATTCTCTCAAAGTATATTGTGTTTCATTTTCTTCCCATGAGATGCCTTGTTCATATCTCCCATTTTGAGAATATTTCACTAGTGACCTCCTTAGATTTGAAAACTTGAAAAATAATCCTATTAACTTCCAGAAAGTTGGGTCTCAGTTTATCTCCTAATTTTCAGGGCAAGTTGGATGGGCCTCAGCAGCCACCTGAACACTCCCATGGGTTTTCCCTCACCAATTCGTGTGTGACCTGTGCTCTCCTGACCGTTGCAACTGGGTGCTCCCACCTGGGCCTGTCTATCCCCACATTCAGGGGAAATGGTCAATTATCAGAAATCTTCTGAACACTCACAGAAATGGGCTAGGTTTTCTAAAGTAAGACATGAGGCTATGACCCAGAGGTGTACTGATCAGCGAAAGACAGGAAAAACCCCTCAGTTCCCCCGCCCTGTTGGTCTGTTTGTTTTTAACAAGCCTGGTGGCTACAAAGTCTTTTCAGTGGGCCCTCCCCCTCCTGTGAGTGTCATGAGTGCAGGAAAAGGGTTTACTTGGTTTTGCAGTAGGCCACCACACACATGATGCCGACCACCAGCAGGGCAATGCAGATGCCGGTGATGGTCAGCACTCTCTTCTGGTAGAGCTCTTCAGCTTCTGGAAAGGGATAAGAGTAGATGTCACCAGGGGGCACGTGCTCGTGGCAGGACTTAACATCATATGCACTATTCTTGAGCACCTACAGCAAAACTCGCTGAGACTTTTTACAATTTTAAAATATTAAATGATAAAATTCCTTTAATCAATAGCTATTGATTAGATTCTAGGATATTACACTAACAAATCACAAACACTCATGATAAAATAGCCATGAGGATTTGCATATTGTCTTAAAAAAACAAAACTCTTGCAAAGACAACAGGAATTCCCACCAACAAAAGCATTGGGATTGGCACCCCTGCATTCCTCCCGTGTTCCAACCTTTGGATTCTCCAGATCTTTTATAGCATTGGTTTATATTCCAGTGGTCTTTACAAAGAATTTATTTTTAAAGCATAAACTAAAAAAAAATGCAAACATGAGCTTGGCTTGTAATTAGCAATTAAATCAAGGCAGAATCCCTAAGATTTCATCATAAATGAGAACATAAGCAGCAACATTATACTGAGTAACAAGGCCTTGTATAAGAGAAAGATCATTATGATATGCAATAAAGTCTTGGGCCAAAATGAGGACTTGTCCTTTGGAGAACAATTCTTATCACTCCACCACTATCCTTAGAGAACTGCTATTTCTGTTTCGAAATAAAGACCAACTATCACAAATGATGTGAGATTTGGTATACATCACATATTTCTGAATTTGCCAACATGGCCAATTAGCTATTAATAAGTTATCCTAAGGAAAGGTGATGCTTAGGACTTTGAACTAAGGACATTAATGTACCCAAATGTAATCAGAGTCTCAATTCATGAAGTTTTTTCAATTTGCAACTCCGCTTCTTTGGGGGATAATTTGATTACACCAAGGTAGGTCAGGTTCTTAACAAGATTTCTGGATTTAATGGTGACCTGTTCCCCAAGGACCTGAGTTTCCAATAGGCCTAATTATGCTTATTGGAAGATGTTCACGAGTTTACTCAGAAGAGAACTCTGCCAGTACACAATAGGCAGTGCAAACTATTTCCTTGCCATTCTGATTAATAGGCTCATCAAAAACATGGAGAACGTTATACAAACAACACTGTCTTATCTGGACATCAAGATGGGACCATCAAGGAAGAGTTACCATTTATATTTCCAGACTCAGGAACTTCACCTTTTCCTCCAAATATAGAGGGCAACTCAAAGGCATTTTTCTTGAAATGAAAAAGTGAGTTTTAATTTCTCTGATACAATGAACCTTATCACAAAGCAAAACATTTCCTACAAGCCGAGCCCATGATCATCAAATCCTAGTTAACAGGTCAGGAACATTGTCAAATCAAATTAAGATAGCACTGATTATTATAACAGGAGGAGGAGGAGAATAGAAGTCAGTAGGTGAAAGACTAGAATGTCCCATAGATTATACAAAAGAAAAGAAAAAAAACAAACAGGGTTGGAAGTGAAAAGAAAAATAAATTGCCAGGACAGACAAGATGGACAGACTGACAGACTGACAGAGCAAGAGAGGAAGTACAGGTGAAACAAGGTTAAAAGTTAAGGAGCCGTCTGAAGTCCCTGGCACGGCATGCCTGATACTTAGGGAGGAAAAACAAAGGAAAACCAGGAGGAGGGAATGCTCAGGTGGGTGGGAAGAGGTGGACATGAAGTTAGAAGGGTGACCTCATACAGTATAACGCCTAACCTAGGCTAGCAGGTGTGTGGAAGCCACAGTTAGAAAGCAAAGCAGCTGGTAAACTGCGGTGAAGCAACGCACCAGGAAACACAGTTGTGGTCACATATTTACCATGCTGCAAAAGTCAAATGCTGACAGGACATCTGAGTGCGTACAGGTGAATTGTTTGTGTCTGTCCACCCACGCCCGCCCGCCCCACCAGCTCCATAGCCCCAGGACAGGACACTAATTTTTATGAGGTGTTAATCTCTGAGCTGATGCCATGGTAGCCCCTTTCTTGACCTTGACATCAGGATCAAGTGTAAATTTGTCTAAGCAGACACACTGCTCCTTCTCTATGGTTAAAGGACTGCAAGAAGGGTTTGCTTGACTCTAATGAGTTGGTTAATAAAAGGATACCTGGAGTGGAAGCACCATTGCCAAGAAAATGAAGGGCCTGCTTTGTGGCTGCATCTCCCCCTTCCTAGTTTTCGTCTCCTTTTTAAGACTGTAAGGCATGGTAGCACTTTTTCTGACCCCTGAACATTCTATCTCTAGAAATAGCTGGGTAATAGCTTCTGCGTACTATGAAAAGTGGGACTTACATGGGGGCGGGGGGAGGACCACACATACTCTGGTATCTCTTTGGACAATGTCTCTTGGGGTGGTGAATTACAAAGAATAAACATGAGTTGGGTTTGTGAACGAAATGGTTTATGGTCCATCCTTTCATTCGATCTTATATAGCAACACATGGTTTTTCAGTCAGATCGGTCATGGAATTTCGTTGAAGCAAAAAAGGCCAATGGGCAATACAGAACACTGAGTAGAGCCAATTAAAGGCAAAGTCCATGGCATACAGATGTGAGCTTAGGCATTTATTCACATCAGCATGTACTGAATGCACTACATCTTTCACTTACATTTTCTAGGATTTTACGCACACAATATTAACATGTTAATGTTAATGGTTAGAGCAAAAGCCCATGATATTCCCTTATATTTTTTGGACTGTGACAGGATCCAAAGGTTACGAACCTGTCCAGTTAGCAAGTCAGCCTTCATGAGTAGAAATGCTTCGAAATCTTAGTTTGCTTGTAGACAATACTGCAGTGAGTCAGACCAAATACATATTTCAGCCTGACCTGGCCATGCCACCAGACAGGGCCCTAGTGCTTTTTGGTTTTCAGTGACCTTTAAGGTCTGGCTTTCCTTAGGGAGGCAGTGGAGGGGGTTAAGGGACGCAAAGTAATAAAGCAAGAGAAAGGTGCTGTTATGGATCAAGGGAAGGTGCTCCCTTGTGCCCTTGCAAGAAAGGTCAATCGGCCTTTACAAAAGTGGGAACATTTTCATCCTGAGGGCATTGACCCTAAGGTACAATGTCCCCACTGTGGCACTATGCCATCCTGGTGACGGCCGTGCCTCCCTTTACAGTTTGCACTTCGGGGAGATAGTCTATGATGTGCAAACGTGCACTCACGTTCTCCACCAATTAAGAGTTTTGTCCTGGAATTCTTTTCTTTCTTTCTTTCTTTCTTTTTCTTTTGTGTGTGTGTGTGTATGTGTGTGTGTGTGTGTGTGTGGAAGGGATGGGAGATTGAGTTCTTATCCCTGTACTTGATAGAGCTTGCCTCTTTTGCCACCAATTTTAGAAAGGGTATGAAGCGCAGCCTCTGATGTTATCTTCAAAAGGAAGCAGTAGCCTGCTGGGGTCCTGTTTACACCCACAAGAGGCCAGGGCTGTCAGTTGGATGGTGAGGTGTCCTGGGAGCAGGACCCTGTGTTGCTGACCTACCAGTCTGCTGTGGACTTGAGTGCCCTGTTCAGAGGGACTGGGTGGCTCGGTAGGTCTCAGCATTGGCAGCACCTTGCTCTCCACAGACTCTAGCCTTTTCTCTCCATTAGTTAGAATGAAGACCTTCAGAGGGAGTGCATTCAACTTTCTTAGGGTCATACACCACCTTCTCTTTATAGTTTCTGTATGGAAATTTCAATTTGATTACTTGTCTGGATCATCTGAGTAACAAATTTAATTCCATGAACACTAGAATTCCCACCTGAAAGGACACAAGTGGAGCTCTTTCTGTTTCCTAGTTCCTCATTCATAAGATAATGATGCTGACTACAGCAGTGCTTGATCATCCCCAGAAAATTGGGATAATTCAATTTTTTTGCCTATCATATTAGGGAAGGGAAGGTATTTGTCTTCTACTATATTATGATGTAGTTGGGTTTTAGCTTTGCATGTCAAACTCCTATCAGCCTAAGAAGTGGTACTTAAATTGGTGCCTTTAAATGGTTCTTTTGTTCTAAAGTCCCCCATTTGATTCTGTCTGCACTACTCCAACTTACCCCAGATTTCATATAACACATGGCCACATTCAAGGAACACTGGGGAGATTTATGAATTTGCAGCAGGTGAGGTGATACTTTTTAACCCTAAATGAAGCCTAGGATGATAAGAACTGCCACCTTCACTGTTTCAGGAAACTAACCATGGACTGACAGCAGGGAACTCACTGTTATAGCTGTATGGCCCCTTCTAAAGACAAAGGAAATCAGTTAGGAACGAAAGGGAAGAGGAAGCAGGGACAACGTTTGAAGGTCATAGGCTCTAAATTCGGCAGGCTAAAAGGAATGATGGTGGTTCATACCCATAAATTCAATCCCAAGATGCTCTGCCAATGCAGAAAGGTGACCAAGGAAGGGGGGGAAAAAAGGGAAAAAGTTTAAGCAAAAAGCAATACACTGCACTCGGCAACACATTACACGACTCCAATGACTCCCGGTACTCGCGCATCGGACAGGGGGTGACATAGCAGTGCTCAGGTAGCTGCCAGGCCCACGTGGCGCCTTCATTCACCCTTAGGTGACCTGACTGAGGGGAAGCCATGCCTGTGCTGTTCTCGCCAGTATTTCAGTCTATTGAGATCATTTTAATGGCCTCTTGGGAAAAGGGAGAAGCAAGTTCTAGGGAGGTGACGTTGTTAATCCCCAAACGTCCAGTGGCAGTGGCAGGAGCAGAAAGCAAGAGGAGAGCACTTTGGTGTGAACATTGTATGCTGTGGACTTGATGTTTTCCAGTAGTTTCTTTGGTTGCTGCTGCTGCTGCTTTGGCTAGTTTTAGAAAACGCATCAATTCTGTTTCAAAACTTCCCTTCTAGCCACCCTTTGTGCATTTCTGTCAGAGACAGCAACAAACCCTCTGCCCACAAAGCCAATCAGGGGACTGGGACAGGGAATGGGGTTTGCTTCCAGTTTGTCCCTATAATTCCTGTGTGGCTTTTCCAAACTATAAAAAGAAAGAGGTGGGGCAGGGGCAGGGGGGGAGCATGCGGACAGTATTCATCAGGCCCCAAGGTAATTGTATTACTTCCTCAAATATCAGAGAGCAAATTAGATCATAGGGCCACAGTGCCAAGTTGCTCTGAAGAAATCCTTTTAAAGGGGGCCCTACTGTGACCCCGGTACTAGGGCACAGACACAAGAGGACTTGTCCCCCATAGGTCCTCAAAGGGATGAGCCCACAGCCAGCTGTCGGGAAAACCAACACCGGAGTCCAGGCGTGGCTGCTGAACCTGCATGGGCTCCGATGAAGAAACGGAGAAAATGCAATAAAAATTAAAAAGGAAATGCAAGCCTCTTGGGAAACGTCACTATCCGTTCTTGGCGAACAGGCTGAGTCAAGTCCCGTGGTGTGGAGCCTTTAGAACGTCACCTCGCTTGCATGGGAGGTGGCTGACAGGCAGGAGGGATGTATGACCCCAGAGGTGCAGCTCAGAGGTGTTTTCTTGCCTGGATTCCACACTTGAGAGACAGCAGGGAGCTCCATAATAGGAGGAGATATTCCCTAGTGTTGAAAAAGAAAAAACGCGTGGACCAGGGTCTTTCCCTTACAAAAACAGCCACCAGGAGGAACAGCGGATACAGAGGGGCACAGCTCCTCTTGCTTTCCAGTCCTGCCTCTGCCATCGACCTGCTCAGTGACTAATTTCTCACCGACAAGCTGGCGACACTGACACGTCTCACGGGGGCCCGAGGAACAAAGGAGCCAGGGAGCGGGCGCGCCGTGCCCTCCCACTTCCACGAATGCTGGCAGCCAGCAGGGGGGGGGGAGGAGTTTAAGCACAGACATTGCTTGAGGTTTATGTTCTGATACTCATTGCATTTAGGCTTTTAAAAAAATATTAATTCCATGACCAGAAAAATTCAGGTGGCTTTTGGGGCATATTCAAGAACATAGCATTTAGAAACTCCACCCCACCCTTCAGAAACTGAAGCTTCTAGATGGGAAAAAAAATCAGATAGTAAATACAGTAACAAGGGTCAGAGGAAGCATTATGTATCATATATGAGAAGCCCTCTGTACTCCAAAGTACATGGGCAAAGAATCTAAAGTTTTCAAAAACCTGGGGGGAGGGGGAGGTCAATCGTGGCACAAAGTTCACAGCAAAATGATAATTTATTCAAATCCAAATGAATTTCATTGCCAGATTGACTCCCCCCAAACTCATTTTCCAAAGAAGTTGAGAATAAATTCCTCAAAGATCTCCAAGACGGTGTCAGGCCATTTTCCTCCCGAGAACAGTTTCTGCCTCTCACCTTTTCTTCCCACCAGTCAGGACTATTTTCAGGGTTAAAATCGAGAGAGGCACATACAACTCTCTCCAGAAAGTCAGTAGTCCATGCCTACGTGAACACTGCTAATGATCACTATTAGTTGCAGAGAGAGCTTGGTTAAGTCTTCAATAAAATTAGTGACATGCCCATGCATACATATTACTGCATTTACAGTTTTATAGGTAAGTCTGTGAGCCTAACTATAATTTCATTTCATGGGAAGTCATTCATATCAGGCAGCTCCAATTTCAATAATTCAATGGGAAATTGGCACTTAAAACTAGAATCTCTTCTGGCCATATGCCCTGACAAGGAAGCAGGCAGAGGAAACATGCATCCGTCATTCTAGACCCAGAGCAAACGCTGCCATCATATATTTGTACGATGGGGTGGCTATATTTCTTTCATTGTGAATCAAGAATAGTAGAATCCACAAATGATATTCATTTTATGGAGAGGTGATTACTATTTGTTATATTTAATGTGATGTTGGTGTAGGCTCATTATGTGTCACGTGCTTCCCACTGAACTTCTGCCTAGCCACCACATTTTTCAAATTCAATTAATAATTAAAAAACACAAAGGTTACTGTAAACAATTTGGCTTCCTTTTCTACATGTGACTTCCTGCTTGCACTAGGCAATATAAAACTGCGATTTAAAATCTAAGCGTCTTCAGGAACTATTAAACATCAACTCACTCTTTGCCTTCAGATTTTGTAAATGTTTGGAGAAAGATAATTAACCAGGTTAATTTAAGTGTTCAATTTCATTAGAAGAGAACCATTTTTTTTTTTTAGGTACATGAAGTTACGGTTTCTGTTAACGTTTGAAGACATTGAGAATTTTATACTTTAATCTTAGGTCTGGCTTTTTAAAATGATCTCAAGGCATATGTGTAGTTTTAACTTTTTATATCTCTGAAGTTTCTACAAGAAATCTGTCGATATAATTTCTATATGGGACCAAATTAATGCCCGCTTTATACATTTTGACTTACCTTTACAAATGTAGACATGCCCACCACCCACCTGCCCACCCGCCTGCCCACACATACCACTGTGTATTGCTACTGAGCCCTTTGAAATGAAAGGGAGACTCTTTCCTGACTCCCAAATATCCGTGTGCAGATAAGCGTGTACACACACACACACACACACATACCATAATCTCAGTTAGGGTTAGAATATGTGATAATTCGGCCTTAGGTAAAGCTTCCCTGTATTCACCTGTCAATAGGATAATATGTTGAATAAACTAATAATTTCAATAGGGTTTTTAAACATTTAGAAATCCACATAAGTGCACTAGCAATCTATGGCTAGAAACAAGTTTACCTACTCTACTTTGAGAATGTGCTTAAACATTCTAAATTTGTACTCTTGAAAATTAGTCTATACTTTAGACCCATCTGTATTAGCTTTTATTATATATTAGGTTATGTATGATGTACTTGTTCTATATTCCTGGTTACTTTTGAGGCTGTGCATGATTTATAAATCACCTATACACATATGCACACACACAAAAATGAACATGATCCCCTTCAACTATGACTTCTGTGTCAAGATAGGTCAAATTTTAAGCTGACTGTCCTTGACAATATTTTCCTCAGAACTGAGGAAAAAAAAAGTTTTATTTCAGGAAAAATTGAGGTCTTTAAGAAAGCCATATAACAAGTACATTTGTTCCTTTTTATATTTAAAATCAGTTTAAGAATCAATAAATACCCAACAGGCATTATTTCATACAATAGCTAGAATCATGGTATGTAGTCCCAACAACACGAGTTATGTGTCAATAAACATATTGCAAAATTCGAAGTTGCTGGAGAATGGTTTTCTTTATATTTTGATACGTTGCAAGTAGTTTTTCTTTGAAAGTGGGAAATATACAGTTCCTTTAAAATTTAACTTCTGTTTTCTTGACTTTCTAAATATAAATAAACACTTAAAATTGTAGAATGGTCAGTGTGGCATCCCCTTTTGGGGGGGATTTGAATATAAAAGCTATTTGAATATAAAGCTCTGAGGGGTAGGAAAACTATTTTCCTGTCTCCCATGTGGAGGTCTGCAGCAATAAGCACTGAGAATTTCAGACACACAGAGGTTAGACACAGAGGTTAGCAAACTGTGTACAAGACAGCTTTGGGAAGCAGTTTCTAATGGCAAAGTCTTTCCTTTCTCAGGCATACGGCACCACTGTCACTACACTCTTTTGATCATAAATAAGCTCCCTATCAATCATGTTAAAATCTGGTCAAAATGCAAACAACAGATTTCCTGGATGTCTCCAAAAAGTGTAACTTAAGGCTTAGTAAAGAATGCTTTAAGGAAACACATCCTGAAATTCATAAATATATACTGGTTATTTTTAAGTGATGTACTAGAGAAGAGAAAATAGTCTAAAAGAGAGGTTGGGAATATTCTCCATTGCCAAGCATAACTCATTTTTCGGAGACATAATTTGATCTTAATGCTTTTCTCTATAGTGATCCTGATTATGTTTGATAAACAGTAAAATTTTCTGCAACAAAAAAATAATTCAACTTAGAGTTTTTTAAGTCTAAAATATATTTGAAATGTATTTACATGGTCAAATAGATTTGCTGTCTAGTTATTTCTCTGCAAACATATTCCTCAAAGAATGGCTCTAGTGCTATAAAACATTTCATGCCACCCCTTTATATTCAGTTTACATTTTGTCTGCCTTTGAAATCCATAGAAAAATAAGCTGTCTACTAATGGTATATCATTTAAATACTTGTGAGTACAGTGAAGATTGTGCTTCAAAATTGAGCAACATTAGTTAGTTCATTATCAAAACAGAAAAATACTTATGCCATAATCTTTGACAGGTAGCCCATACATACGTATCACCGACTCACAAGCTGGTTAACTATAAATGGGTCTAATTCCCCCATAATGCATTGTGGAATTTATTCTAGATCTCCAATGACTGTTAAGTTCCTGAATCTTATACTTCATATGCATTTCAAACAAAATGCCCAAACCCCATAGCCATTGAGCCCATTCCAACTCAAAGCAGCTCGATGGAAAGGGCTGCTGAAGCTGCACAGCGTTACCAGGAGCCGAGAGCCAGTATCTTTCTCCCACGGAGTGGCTGGTGGGTTTCGAGCCATCTAACTTGCAATTGGCAACCCGGTGCGTAAGTATATCTCGGATCCTTTTAAGGTGGGTAAATGACCAGTTCACAGCTCTATTTTTCATGCTATGTCAACTTAAAATGCAACAATCCCTTGTGAAACATTTTTCATGGTAAGCAATTGACCATCTAAATCAGGTGTTGGCAAACTGGCCTCCAGGGCAAATTGAGCCTGCTCCCTGTGTTCTGAAGTGAGCGCTCCTTGTCACACAGCCACGGCCATCTGTGTAAGTATTGTTTCTATTCTCATGCTACACTGGCAAAGCATTTGTGACAGTAGTTTGTATCACTTGCAAACCCTACAATATTTCTAGCCCTTTAAAGAAAAAATATGGCCAACTCTAAATTTAAATGAGTAGCTATATGGAGTGTGTTTGTAACTGTGAAAACTCCAGGATCAAAAGCTAAGAGTCCTGGCTTGCAAGAGAAGGACAAAAACACATCCCAGTTATCTGTGCAATTGCATAAAATCGGGAAGGGGTCCTAGAGGCCTGGTGTTCAGGACTTCCAGAGCTCACAAAAGTCCATCAGAATCCACAGTTCTGTATTAAAGTAGCGATATATGTGTATGTAGTCATAGATGTGTATGTATTCTAGAGGTGAGATATTCTCTTTCAAAATAAGAATACATTTTATATTTTAAAATGACCTAAGGTCATCATCAATATTAGCATTAAAAATTTTTGGATGGTTTCCACTAGTCCTCATTACACAGTAGCTCCCTACGTCAGTATCCATGGAAGCCAGGATAGCTCATTTTTCGTGAAATGTTTGTTTTTAATTTTCCTACTCCGTGTCATTTTTTTTATACCTAGATGCAAATGGTTTGGTTAATGAAGAGAAACACCTAAACTCTTTTGATTATGTTTATTTGTGATAAATAACACATTCTGAACCAAAATGAACTTACCAGCGTTTCAGTTGTATGTGGGTTAGCACTTAGCAACCTGCTTTTCTGAATGTTGTCATTTTATAAAGAAGATGGACTGTTTAGTGGAATGATTTTTATTTTATCAATAAAAGTGAGACTTTTCAATGCCTTTATTGCAATTCCACTGCTTGATATTGACTATCAGCGTGCATCACATTATTCAATATCAGTGTCAGAAACATCTGAACCCTCACACACCTATTAGAAACTCAGAGCCCACTAGACACACACAGAGGGAGTAATACAATTGCTTTGGTTAATGTTCTCATGCGACAGGCAGAGGCAGTCAGTGTTAGACCTGGTAAAACACGTCTAGCTCTAGGTGAGCTCTGAGGGCAGACACGGCCATAAGAAAGCAGCACCGACTGAGCATGCTCCTATTCAGGCAGAGACAGAAAGGGGGTGGACGTACTGTAGAAGCTGGCCATTACGTAGTTTTGGCAGCGATCACCAGTAAACTCATTTGGGCACCTGAGAGAAGAAACAAAAAACAATGGTGGAAAAAACAGAGAAAAAGAAAAGAGGTGAATATATGGCAGAAAGAAGCCCCTTCAGTGTCAATTGACTTGAACTTGGTGAGTTCGCCCTCAGGAACTGAATCTTTGTGCTAATCATGGCTTTCAGACTCTCTGGAATTTCCCCACACGATCAAAATTGTAGACAAAATGTAGTGTGTGAATCTGTCTGAATGAAAGATCCAAGTATTTCAGATGATTTCTTTCCTTCAAAGGGAATCACCTGAAGTTAAATCCAGTCACTTTCTCTCAGTTTTCCATTTGATAGTTCTGTTCAAAAATGTTGAAAGAAATTGGGTCACCCTGCCTGCCGTGGTTACCAGCACCACTGGCCAGCCTGATGGCTCACTCTTCAGGGCCGAGGTGGAAGGACAGTCACAAGAGGTCATAGTGAAGGGGTTGATGTCCTGAGTGGCTGAACCATAATTAGAACAGAAGCATTCGGTTACAACTGCGCTATAAGACTACCAAGCAGTAGTGACTGCTGCTGTAGAAAACAAATTGCACATGATTGTAACATACTTTCTTGGGTATGGACTTTCATGGGCACATTCTCAGTACATCTTGCTCCAGTGAATCCAGGTTGGCACCTAGAGGGTAAAAATGTGATAAGCAACAGAACGCTCAAGACACCAAACTTTCAGACTGGAAATTTCCCTCTTTTGGAATATGAAGAATCCTATACGTGATCTTCTCTCAGGTCATACAGTGGGGCTGTGATTAAACATGGAGGTCCTTTATTTGATCATTTTGTTGCTGTTGCTCTGGAAACTGAAGCCCCTGGCACTGGACCCATTCTCCCCAAGATGATGTTCTATTAAACAACAGCATCATCTAATTATCAAGTATCCTTAAGCAAAGCATCTTATTAAAATTAGTGCTGATAACATATACATCATGATTTAAACACAATGCTTTTTTCTGGAGAATAAGTAAATATACATAAGTATCTGCACAACATTTTTGACCTGAGACAGATGTGAACAAGATTATTCCGTTTTACCAACACAGGTTTGGCATCTCTTCATTTCCCTTCCAACCAAGGACAGTGTTTAAAAAGTGTCTTCCGACTTGACATTTCTAATTACTCCTACTACAGGAAGCATGGCCTACAAGAGGACATCTTAATAGTTCCAGATATGTGTTAGCATAAATACTTATGTAAGTTTACAGCATTATTTTGATCATTAACAATAATATCAATAATACCAACAAGAAATATTTTATATTGAAATAGCTCCATTGAGTCCTTCAAAACCGATATATAAATGAATGGAGTGTTTTTTGATAGGTAGAATATGTTTGCTGCAATGGGCTGAGGAAGATCTAAAGAGAAATCTGTATAAGAACTATAACGTATGATGTTGGGTCCGTTTTCATAAAAAATTCTATTCCTTATGCTTTAGCAACAATGCCTCCACAGAGAAAAAGGAAAAACAGAGATAGAAATTGTTTTCCTTAACGCTTAAACAATTTCTGAAGTTTTTTAGTTATTTCATTTTTGTAATTACGTTGCATACAGACATATATTCAACCATATAAATACATAGATAATTCAAGAACAAAAGACATGTTACAATGTTCTTTTTATCTTACCTGCTTTTTATCTTGACCAATAAAAATGATCATATCGATCACACAACAATATTCTTTTTCATGCAGAGAACATGATGTAAAATCACTTTTGTGTGTGTGTGTGTATGAGAGAGAGAGAGAGAGAGAAACCAACCATCTGAGACAAGACAAAAATGTCCTTATTTAAGGCTCATAAAATTAACAAGGAGCTCAAGATTCACGAGTGTGTTAATAGAAGTAATGTAAAACATCATGTCAGTATCTGAGATTCAGAGTTGTGCGGTCAGCAGGCCAAGGGCAAGAAGGTAAAAGGAGTCAATAATCATACCCTCTTAATTTTCTAGTTATTAAAACCTTCTACCAAGATTATTTTCCAGAAAACTAGCATGATAGTGGTTTAGCTCCATAATAAGACTATATAGAATATTTGGTATAGGAACACTTAGAACTATTCAAAGTGCACAAATCCTTTCAGCAACTAAGTGCTATATCTGAACCAAAATATCATTTCATTAATGCTCATCTTCACTCGAGAAAAGTGTGTCCTTAGTGAAACCCAAACACCAGTGTTTCCTGGAGCTTGTTAGTAGAAATGCAGAATGTCATGCCACAGCCCAGAATCAAAGATGAGAATCTGTGTTTTAACAAGATCCCCTAAAGGCACAATAAAACCAAACCAAACCAAAGAGCACCAAACCCATTGCCACGGAATGGATTGTGATTCACAATGACTCTACAAGATAGAGCAGAACTGCTAACGAGGGTTTCTCAGAACAGCTATCTAAGAAAGCTGACAACCTCATCTTTCTGCAATAGACCTGCAGGTGGGTCTGAACTGCTGACTTTGCAGTTAGTACCCTGGGGTTTATCCCACTGCATCACTGGGACTTCTTAAAAGACACATAGCCCGTAAGATATGAGAGACTGTAGACTTGCAAGATGGAGTGTAAGGACCTCTTATTCTGACAGACGAGTATCTTGCTGTTGGGGTCTGGGTAGCACATTGAGCTTTATTCATTCTCTGTCAGTGATTAAATAAAAGTCATTGAAAGTATCTTTTACCATAAAAGCTCTCTGAATGGATGCTATGCTAACACACGGAATCACTGAGAGTACATTTGACATCCCCTCTTCTGATGACTACCCACCAAAGAGGGCAGAAGAAGGACATTTAAAAATCACTATTGAGTCAATGGATTTTAAAGACAACCATGGAGGTGAAACAAATAAAAAATACCCATGGCTCTGCACCAATGCTTGTTAGGTAATTGTGTAAACATCTAGAATGGTTGCCAAATAAGATGGAAGACAACAGAAATGGATTGAAAGAGTTTCCGTATAAACATTACTAAATGTAGACTCTGCCTTGATTGTGTAAAGAAATCATAGGCACCATATGCTAATGAAAGTCTGTCTGATCTATAAGCTCTTATTAAGTTCTATGGAATTACTTTTGACAGAATATCTAGCTTCTAACATATTTCTGTATTAGCAGCTGATATTCTGTGTGTTATTCAAAAATTCGCTCTCTCTCATGGGAGATTACCTTGCACTAAATCAAGTGATAATGTTATGATTTCCATGTCTCTGAGGAAACTCCCAAAATGTTATTTCTTAAGAAAAATGCCATGTTTGACAAACAACCAAGCACCTGGGCTGTATTAAACCACATCGTTTCTTTAAGAACAAAAGATGGGATTCCCCTTCCTCCTGATTTTTTCTTCCATTTGCTCTAGTATCTATTTTTAATGTTTGTACTACATTTGTCCTTAATAGAATGACTTTTTTATTGTCGTCCAGGGCAAACTCTACAGATCAGATCCGCTGTCCACCAGCAATGTGGGCATGTTTCATTACATGAAATCGGTTGCAGTGCCCTCAGTGTAACAGCCTTCTTCCCACTTCCCTCCCCTACTTTTGACAGGGCCCTTTTGCCATGTTGCACTTTGAGTCTCAAATGATTGATTGTATGGAAAAGTATATTCTTCTCTGGCATTACTGTTCAGCAGCTAGATCTGCCAATTGTTTGGCTGAAAGTTGATCCCTAGGGTGGGTTCAGTTCCCCAATAGCAGGGTTTCTAACAGGCAAAGTCTTGAGGGTTGCACGGTCTATCACACTGGTAATTCTGGTCTTTATCTGTTTTCAAATTTTGTTCTATTTTCCCCCTTCATTCTCTGTGCAGGACTTAAGTTTCACCAATATATCTGTGTAAGCTTAGGCATCACCTATTCGCAATTAACCGTTTCCTTACTTCTACCTTCTGTCTCCCTACTTCTTTGCCCTCAGTTACAAAGTTATGATCTCCCCTTCAGCTCTCTCATTGCAAATTGCTCTGATACCTTTCACTTAGGTACCTATTCTGTTGCTATATTTTTCTCCTCTGCTAGATCAGACTGAGCTTGAAGGACCAGACCACACTTTGATTATTGTGTACCACTAATGCCTATCACAATGCCTGGCTCAGAAAGGGCATTCAAAGCATGTGTACTCAACCGAACCAAGTTAAGATCAGACTCACTGTCCAATCGAAAACTCTATCCAAAGAGATTTTCTTGCAGTTAGCTAGTTTGCCAAATATAAGGCAATACTGAATTTTATCTTTTTTAATAATATAAAATAAAATTAAAACCTTTAGCATTGTATCTTCAACCTTGAAAAGATTACTATTCTTCAAATGTCTATCACTTCACATTTAAATCCTGTTACTGAAATACCAATTTACTGATAACTCAGTAAACCAGCACAATATACGAATCAAGATCCCTGCACAGCAGCAATAAAACAAAACTTGTTTTTAATAACCTTGATACACTTTTACCATCCTGACAAGTTTATTTTACCTTTAATCAAGAATGTATGTATTTTCAGAATCAATACTTCTTACTGTATATTTTTACATTCTGCTAGAGTATGTACATTATTTCTTTTCTATTTGTGGAGTATCTCAATATATTCAGAAACACCCACAAGCTCCCAATTAACTTCTGGCTATTTAGAATGGGCTAATTCTACAAACCATTGACAATTCATGATGAATTTTTAAGCCATCCTTAGTCGAGCTTCCATCCCTTAACTTTTTATTTTTTGAATATTTTTCCATCACTTAATTCTTAATTTTGCTAATTTTCATTAAGCTTTTCTTATCCAGGCAGGCAGAGTGAGAAGGCTTACCTGACCTCTCTCTCCAGTCACCACTCCACAGTACAATATTTTGACAATCATAAAACACCTTGCCTGCAGAAGAAGAATCTCAAATGTCCTTTTGCTCTCCCTCAATTCTGACAGAATCTTTATTAGGGTGTCTATGTTTACAAATATTTAATAGTGGAAGTGTCGATACATAGAGACTGGGGAATATCAATGGCCTTATATGATAGACA